ACTAAATTATGTTTTTTCAGAGCCTAACTGAACATGCTGATACATTTGTTTCTGTCATTCTCTTGTCTGTCTTGTCTTTCTGTCTGTCTTTTTTATGATGGGCAAACTTTTAATTTGTATTGCACTATTATTATAATAATTGATTATTAACCGAGATGATATCTAGTTGTATGCTCACCATAAAGAAATCTCGATATACAAAACTTTGTATCTTTAATATCTGAATTTACATTATTATTTTGAATCTGTTATCTGTATGTGCTGCATGTACGTGGATAAAAATTTTCTCTACATTTTTATGTGTCTTTTAACTTAGCGTGTATTGCTGTGTTTAAACACTATGTTTAAACAGCAATTACTGCAAATTAGAAAACTGCAATTAGCAAACAGATATTCATGCAAATTGTACATCTTCACTTTCTTCTATATTCCTGATACAAATGTGTTTCTGATTAGAAAGGGGAACAAATATGCTCATGTTGCCTGTGCTACTGACATGTATATGTGGGTTGCTTAAACAAAATACATTTGTCGTGTAAACTGAAACTATTTTGAGATTCTTCAGTGCTTTATTTTGGACATGAAGACACCATCACTTGTACTGTTTGTTTGCATTTATGCATCGTCTAAAACAAAATCAAGTATCATTCTTAAAAATGGGCTTTAAATGGCCTTTTTATGCATTGGATGTCCTGGGTGGCTTTACTAATTCCTGTGCTTGGCTTCTTGGATTTTGGTGGAGTGAGTTCATGTGTTCGTGCTTTGCACGCTTTAGGTGAACAGAATCATCTTTATAGAACATTCTGAACCCACTGACTGTGGTAAGGCAGTGACTATAGTTACATTTTAAGCTAAAAACTTGGATATGCCAGGAAGCATTTTTTTCCCTTTTCTTCTTGCAACTGGGTACTTAGATTCTGTTTGCTTCCCACTGCACATACTGTGCACAAGTGCAAGAAGCTGGCGGACTTTCAACAGAGAGTGAGGTAGACTGATGGTCAAAAGCATCACTGAAAATTCTCTTTTTGCGTGTCTTTATGTTTGTCTAAAAAGGTCAGACATAAAGTTGATCTGTGCTCTGAGCCATCTGGATGTTTTAATGCGTCGTTGATACTTGCTCCTTGGCTCTGTGCTATGCCAACTGTGGCTAATGGTTTCTGTTTTGATTGTAGTTTGAATCTGACTCTGTCTTGGAGCATGAGCAAGTCTCATACATATCTGTCACTGAAATATCTAGGCAGTCTGTCTTTAAATGCCTGGCTGGTATGTCTAGGTAGCATATTTGGACCAATGCTAGCTGCTAATATAGCAAGTTAGGTAAAGAATTTTCATTCAGATTAGGATGTTGTACACTTTTGCCTTATTTTAAAATACAGCACAAGGCTGGTCTGCTTGTATGAGTATAATTCACTGACTAGTCTCACTTTGAAAGAGCAAATTTCAGTTTGTGGTCTGTGCGTGACTTTCAAATAATCTAGTTTTATTTAAAAAAAATTTAAAAAACAAAGCAAAACCAAACTAAACCCAAACCATAAGAAAAGTTAGTAGACTTAAATTACAGTAAAAGTTATCATTTGCTATTGGAAGATTTTCATAAGTTGGAAAGATTGAGAGCTGTTGTTACAGAGACCTCCACGTAGTTTTTCCCATATAGAAGGAAAATATCTGCCTAGCAGGGAGTAAATCATTTTATCTGTTTGAAGTTTTGGGGTTTGATATTCTGTATATGGATGAGGTATGTTGAGCTGGGGTATAGTAGGTATGTTAGAATTCTAATGCTGTCTTATGCCAATGAACTCTTAAAAAAGACCTGTAATAATTGCTCTACTGAGTCAAATAAAAAGTTCATCTAGCCTTTCAGTGACAAGACCCTCTTTCTAACCACCTAGGCAGGCAGTGTAACATCTAGCTCATCCATCCCAAAACCACACTGTGAAAACCTCTTTACATGGAAGTTCTCTGTTTCCTTGTGGCCTCCTCTATGCCTGCCCCCTCCAAGGCCCCATCAACCTCCTTGTCAGCCTCCTCCTGGCCAACCTTGGTGGAGGGAGTCCTGGTGACTGTAGGCCTATTCCTGTTCCTTGGTGCTTCACCATTGCCAGGCAGAGCTCTCCTGGGCAGCATCTGCCTGCTGCTTGGGAGCCATCAGGGAGGAGCATGTATTGGAACTGTAGTCCTCGCATACCCTTCCTAGTTCATGTCTTTGACATTTGACTCACCCAACCCCTTCTTTGGATACAACAAAGGAAATCAAAGTATCAATTGGATCTTTACATGGTGGTGTGGTGTTTTTTTTTGTTCTCCCCCCCCCCCCCCTCCCGCCCTTTTCTCTTTAACCCTTCCTTTCCCAAGAGAAACTTTACATAGAGAAACTTCTAGTGGAGAAAAAACAAGGGTGGCACAAAACAGTGAGAGAGAATTATTTAAAAAGGAGTACAAGAAGGAGGGAAAACATAACAATTAACTTTTACCTTGCAGTTTCTGAGTTGTTAGTAACAGCTAATGTTTGGCTGTGGATGACCATATGCTTCCATTTCTTAACGACATTTTGATTGGTTAACTGATCGCCTACCTAGCACTTACTGGAAAAATGCATGTTTCACAGCTGAAGCAGCGCACATGTGGTATGTTTAATTTATTGTAACATCACATTCTTTTTGTAGCATTGTAACTCAGAGAGAGAGAGAGATGGACTGGGTTATTTCTTAAAAAATAAATGGTTATGGGCTATTTTTACAATATACAGAATATAAAACCCAATATCGTATTTGTAGTATCAGTGATAGGAAATACAACCTTTTCATTTGAAATTATTGCTATTTAATAGCCTAAATATCTTTCAGTGATCCTGATAGGTTGAAATGACATATTAACTTCTGTGGCTTCTAGGAATTAGGATGTACTACTGATGCAGAGACGTACTTTTTGCCTTCAGTAGGGAAATCTTTGAAAATTTTCCTATTATTTCTAATTCCAACCCAGATTTAACGTTTTCCTTATGATGCTGACATCTCTAGCAAAATCTGCACATGAAAACATGCAGTTTTGGTCCTGTATTTATTTAGTGCCAAAAATAAGGTTGGTGTTACATACAGTTGACTGTATGTAACAGAGCTTGTAATTTGCTAGTAAAAATGAAGCTCAACTGCAGTTAGTAAACACCATTTATCTGTAGTAGACTATTCTGAACTGGTACTTATAGTCATTAAAAAGAAAAAAAACCTCATGCAATAATGGCATTAGCTGAAGTCATGATATTTGATTTTTTTTTTTGTTGTTCATGTAGATTTTTGGAGTTCTCTATAGAGTCTTTTTGAGTAAAACGGGAGTGTGTCAGGTCTGTGTGCAGTGTTCAGTTTTATAGTTGACTGGAATGATAGATTTGAGTCTCTACTTGAATACTAGAAATATCTTAAACATGTTATAGTCTTACAGTATCTGATTATGAATCAGTAAGATTAAAAGTGTAATTCTTTATATAGCATAATATTTTCAGTGTCATAGTTATGATAAATATCTTCCACAATCTCAGTTTTTAGTGTAAACTGTTCAAGCAGAAGGGTAATCCAAACTATACTGAAACCCTTATGTTTCCTGAGGTGAAGATATAAGGCTGAGATAAGTATATAAATCCATTTACTTTCTCCACGAAGCTACTCTTAAAAGCAAAACTTCTAAAGCTGAATGCCTGGCTTCACTGAGGTCGATTAATATCTTACTTTCTGTTTTCATACAATGAAATCATTCCCCGGTACGCAGTGAAGAAAAAATGTTCAAAACAGTGGCAAATTTTAGGGATATTTCTTTAAGGAGATATTACTTTAAAATGTAAACTAAAAATGCTGCTCAGGAAGAACAGACTGGGAAAAAGACATTTCTTTCTGGGCAGGCTACATGTTTCTGTTGTTCTGTTGTAGTTTTAGCAAGTAATGGTGGAAGGAATGTATGTACTTATGCTTTGTGATATTGGATGAAAGTAAAAGGTGTATGCTAAGGTCTCTAATTGATTTCTGGCTAGTGTGAAAACTGCTTGGTCATGTTGCACAGCAAAGAAGATTTATTAACATAAAGTTCATGGCAAATTTTATCAGTGTGGCTAGTGATCTCTCTCAGCTGGTGTTTCTAAATGATATTTAAGATGAGCCAATGACATCATTATGGCTTGAGATATTCAAACTTGGGCTGTGTATGTTGCAAATTGTATGTGTCATTTTCTGTGATGTCTAATGCATTCCTTTGCCAGTGATTGTGTTCTGCAAATAGTGTTGGATTGCAGGGGGAAAAGATTTTTAAACCTATATTCAAGGCAATTTTATTTTTGTAAGATGCTTTAGAAAATGTACGTAAGTGTTTTTAGATACTTCAGTTTGGGGAGGGGGGGAACATGAGAAGTCTCCATGGGTTTTTTAAATTATTTTTTTTTTCCAAAGTAGGGCACATCAATGTCAGTGACTTTTGATCAGGAAAGTTTCAGTTGATTCTGTATTAATACTGCAATTTTAAGCATCTGTCCAGATTCAGATAAAAATAACTTTTTCCTTTTTTTGGCTTCCAACACAACCTTATGGTAGTGTTTTCCTTACTACAGTGCATTATTTTTCATATCATGCATATTTTGTATTAGATAATATATTATTTTCATCTGATATGTTCACAGCTTATCTGTAAGGGAACTCTTGAGCCTCTTAGACCGTCGTCTCAGAGTGTTTGAGGTCAGCCTTGAGCATCTGGAGCTCTATACATCGGAAGGATGTTAGTGCTAGTTTTGACTTTATATTTGGCCCTGTTCTGTGCATGGGTGTGTTTATGTATGCACGGACTTGTATTTATTTTTTCATAACAATATACATTGATTCCATCTAGAAATATTAGACATAGAAAGCATTCTCTAGATCTTCTTTCTTAAACGCAACAGCAGATTCTTTCATTTTAACAGACTTGTGAAGAAGACTTCTGTAACTTTGATATTGAGGTTCGCAATGTATTTTTCCCCTCTAAAGGCTTTAAAGAAGCAAGATGCTAAAGCAGATGAAACAGAAGAACTCATGAAAAATAAACTTGTGAAATACGAAAGTGAAAAGAACCAAGTAAGACTTAATTTTCTGCTTTCCCGTTTCGTTTTAAATAAATGTACGATGTCATATGTTACAGTATATGCTTCCTTCTTCAGAGAAACCAGCAGGATAAAACTTTCTTTACTCTTTAAGATAACAAGGTTTTTTTTTGCATCAGAGGTACTGTGAATATAGCTATGCTGAACTTCTGTCTTTCCGTCAAAGCTCTTTAGTTGTAGTGTGTTACTTCTAACAACTTGTCCATCCTGCCGGGCAGACAAGTTGATAACTTGGGGATTATCCTTGATTTCTTTCTCTGATTTGTCTCTGAATTTATACATAGTCTGCTGTTGCTTATTTGCAACAGCTCAAAGATGCAGGTTTTCTTCATCCCTGCCACTAACAAGTGCTAGTTATTTTGCACCAATTTTTGGTTATTATTAGTTACTCTTACTGAACTGTCTGTTGCCATATTGCTCTCTTCCTATTCATAGAAAACAAGATTTCTTGTATTTCTGTTCTGGCAGGATACTTTTTCTAGCTTTTTTCCTCTTACATTGAGTTTAGCCTTTTTGTCAATGTTTTGAAAGTTATACCCCTTTATGCTAAGCCATCTATGTAGTATTCTATGTTATGTTACTGTCTCCATTCCATTAACGCTGGTCCTGTTTACTTTGCCCATTTGCCAGCCTCTCAACATCATCTGTGAGATTGCTATCTCTGCAGTAACAATTTCCGCTGGCAAAAACTATGTATTTATTTCCATGTGGATCTTTGATCTTTGAACTATTTACGGTAGAAGTCAGAAAATATTTTGCAGCTTTTGTTTTCTCTTTTTTTCTACATGATCATCAGTTTGGCTGTTTCTGATTAAACATTTTGAAATTCTTTTAATGTTATATTTTTAGGAAAAATTCTAGTATGAAATTCTGAGCACTTCAATTTTTCAGTCATCTCGTTTCTAGAATAATTCAAACACATCATCTTGCACAACACAGAAAAAATACAGAATTTACCAATTACCACTTCTACCAATGCATGTCATCTTTAATACTTTTATGAATAAACTATCTAATGAAGGTGACTTCAAATGATAAGTCATTGTTAACTTTAATTTTAATTTGAAAGTATGTTTCAAATCCAGGGACAGTGTTTTCGAAACTTTTTTGAAAAGTTTATCTTCCTTTCTTTTACTTTTAACCTGGTAAAAATATGCTTTTGTGCTTTTCTGTGTTGGATTATATATACCACTTTGTATCTTCATGTGATGTAGAATATTCTACAAAAAATTATAGACTGTAAGTTAAATTCTCTTTATGTAATTTAAATAAATATGGCAGGATTTTAGTACAAGTGAAAGTTTGCTTTAAAAGTTTGGACAAATAAGAATATTGTGTATAATATACCTTGTTTTAAATAGATGCTCATAGCGATTAAATTGTGCCAGAATCAAATTGTTAAAATATACTTTTGTACTATGACGGATACATTACTTTTCTTTCTTCATTATCTTCTTTAATGAAAGCTTAAGCAGGAGTTGGAGCAGTCCCAGAAAAAGTTGAATGAGTCAGAAGGCAGTAGAGAAGCTCTTTTGCATCAGGTAACTGCTTTGGTGTGGTGAAAATCCTGAAGTTTTCATATTAAGCCGTGTCCGAGGCTTTTTGCTTAATGTTCCTATCTCATACTCTGATAACATTGTTTTGGGAAGGGGAGAAGGAGATATGGAAAGACAGGTTTAAGAGTCTAAAATGTGTGGACTGGGCTCTAATAATACTTTTTCTGCTTTCGAAACTTTTATGCATATATGTTCATATGTAATAATTATAGTAGTGGTAGTAGTTACTGGTACTTTTAAAGTACATAAGCACGTTATTTGTAACTGCCCTTCAAATTATGCTTTAGAACAACTTCTATATTAGTAATTATTGTTATGCATAGCACATGCTATAACTGGTGAATTCAGATAAACTAGTGACTTAGAAGTATTTACTAACATGTGATAAAAATATATAAAAAACAAACGCCTGAAAAACTATCTAAATTGTGCTCTAAACAATACCTATTGATGCACATATGATGGAATCTAGAAGTTGCAGGAACCTGGATTATGACTTTAGAGAAGTGTCCTTTGTCCTAAACTTTTCTAATCCTTCCCTCTTTGAGAGGGGCTGGGGTAAAAGATTGAAATAAATCAAGAGGGGGCAATCGGCATACTTATCTATCAGCATTGGTTATTTGACTTGTGTATGTAGCGGAAGTTTGACTTGGCTGTATTACTGTTTTGAATTTAACTCACTGTGCATGGAATGTAGTGCTACATCACATATGGGTAATATGAGTTAGAGCTATTTTCCTTCAATTTTAGCGTGTCATATTTTCTTTATTTTCCTGTGCACAATGTCATCTTTGTAAGTGCTAGACTGTATATGAAAGAAATGACAAATGTAAAAAGCCCCTACGTTTCTTAAGACTAAGTACATTGTATATTTAATGAGTAGAATTTAAATACATTGCTTATTAAATTTGTATAGATATTTTCACTAGCGATGTAAAAGGACAATTGCAATATATACAATGGCAGCATTTTTATGGCCTAGAGAAATTAATGCTCATCTGTTGTCAACGTAACAAAATATTTCCTTTAATTTTGAGTAATGACTTTGTGGCCTATAATTAGGAAGTAATGTGTGTTTTTCTTTACCACTTGCAGTACTTTTGAGATTTATTTTTAAATATTACTTATGTATAGTCTCTTTTTTAAACACTACAAAACTCAAAAAAGTAAGCTATTTACTCTTTCATTCTGTTTTTCATTAAACACTTGATACTTGTACATGCATTTTAGATTGAGAATCTTCGTTCCCAACTTTTGAGGGCAGAAGATGACCGTGTAGAGTTGCAACATCAAATTTCACATGTTGCTATGCACCACCAGGGCTACCAGAATGTACAAGATGATGACAGGAGAATTAGAACAGGTACAACTCTCATATTTTGCTCTAGAGGCCTGCAAATTAGTTAGTTAGACACTAATTCTGTCTTTGAGTTTCAGTCTAATTCTTCTACTGTTTCAACAAAACCAGCCATTTAACTTCTGAGCTTTAAGTTAATAAGTACTGGCACCTGAATTAACAAATAAATAGCAATGAGAGTTAAAATTTAGGATAGAATACCGTGATTTGCATGGTTAAAACAAATGAGGATTATTAGAGACAATTTCAGTGAAGTGGGTAGTGTTTTTTACAAAGAAAAACATTTGGAATACTTTTAAATAACACTTTTTCTGAAATTTTACACTTCTGTCCATTTCCATTTGCAGTTTAAATTCTGCCATCTTGAAAATCATAGCAAAATTCATTTACATAGCTGGTTAATAAGACTGATGAATTTTTGATAGAATTTCTAGAGAGTAACAACATGTTCCAGAGAGGTTAAGAAAATTTTCCAGTATGATGCAGTCAGGGCTTCTGTTTGCAGTATGTTAGAATTTTAGAGATGGAACAATGATATTTAGAAGAAAAATACTTTAAACTATTTCAAGATATACTTGCATATTAAATTAGCACTTTAATAAGGTCTTTGCTACATTGTTAGTTATGTGTCTGTACTTAAACTTTTCAGACATAATCAAAAAGGCATTAGAGAAAGTCTTTTTCCTTATTAATATAGAAATGTATTACTCAAGATAATAGAGGAATAGTGACTCAGTCCAGTGTCTCTGTGAATGTTTAATGGGTTTGGTTAATAACTTATTTTTATGTTTTCAGACTTCAGCTACTGAATTATCTTGATTATTAAAATAGGGTCCTGAATCCCTGTTTTACAAATCTCATACAGAGCACTGGAAAATGGCTAGATTTTGTGTATGGCTTAGCTTCAGAAATGTAACACAAAATAGTAATTTTAATAGTTTTTCTCCAGTCATGTTAATGTATCTGCTTAAAAGTGAATTTATTTGAAACAGTATGCCTTTCATATTAATGAAAGCGTATTTTAATTTTTCCATTTGTTTCATAATTATAAATCAAAACTGTTGTAAAAATATGAAGAAAATGAAAAAATGTACTGGAGCTATTAAGATATACATATATATTTATATAATTTATGCAGTTGTGTTTCTCTTTACTGTGTTATTTCTGTTTCTTCAAAGATGCATGGGAAGAATACAAATGGAGATTTTCTTTGCCTCTAGTAGTTGTTTATGAGTAAAGACATCTGAATTTCTGGTTGAGGAAATTTACAGCTTGCTCTTGTCAAGAACTTCTATGGTAGTTGTAGGATTCAGATGTGAACTTCACAGATAGTATGACTTGCAAATCAGGGGGTATTACTCTGGTGGGATAGAATCTGGGCCTTGAAGTTCGTTGTCAAGCTTCATTTACACCATGATTTCCCCACTGTTTCTTCTGTCCTATTATATGTTATTTTATTGGGTTTTGTTGGTTTTGGTTTTTTTTGTGAGGGAGGGAAAACCCCTAGAAAATGACTGAATAAACAGAAATACTGTCTCATTCAGTAAAAGATTATGATATAGGTATAGCCATTTTTCACAGATACTTTGATCAAAACCAGTAGTTGTAGTATAGTCTCAAGTAGAGAATTGCCAAAAGAGAAATGAGGAAAAAAAAAAAAAATTACCACAAATTGGTGTTTCTATTGGGCCTATTGTTCTGTTCTCACTATTTTATAGTAGCTGAAAGATATGAGAGAGAGAAGCAAGAACTGGAGAAACATATTTTGGAGCTTAAAGCAAAACTGAGTTGTAATGCAGTAATGTCAGAGGTAGAAGAACTAAAGAGATGCATAGAGCGTAAGGACAAGGAGAAAGCACAGCTTGTAATGCACATACAGGTAAGTTGATTTTTTTTGTTTGTTTGTTTTAATAATTTCCCATATGTTTAAGGTAGGTGATATGCCAGATTAGGGAGTAACCTTTAAAACTAAGAGTAACTGTCATGCCTCTCTTAATTTATTCCATAAATAACTTTGAAAGTTGATCTGAGTTTGAAGATTTTTATTTTTTTTTTTCCTCTTCCATCTTGTTAATAAACCAAAAAAGGTATTTGCTATTGCCCATGAATTCATGGTTTGGATTACTTCTCTTTCCCATATGCAAAGAAAAGGTCATCTGATTTTATCAGCAGTTACCATTAATAATGGCTTCTGTAATTACTTTTATAAGTATTTATTTCCTTATTCCCCATTCTATCATGCTTCAGAACTAAAGTTTAACTTTAAACAAACTGGGACACCTTGTTCTATGAGATAGTGCAGTAGAGTAACAAAAATAGATCATAAGTGCTCTTTTTTTTAGCAATTAGATGCAATATAATAATATAATAATTATTACATCAATAAGTATTAGTATTCTTATGGTAAACACATACTCTTTAAAGTGATTCTCTGTAAAAAGAATAACAGCAGTCTCTGACTTAGAAGACTTTTACCCTGAACACAAAATGAGATATAAGGAGGCAGTAGCCTTTTTAAGACAGGAGATCTCTATATTTTTAGATCTTGTCTAGATTCGTCATTGGTAGTAAGATCCTTGAACAGTAACTGTTTTCTACTGTCTTTCATGACTGTCAGGAGAAATGAGGATATTTTCAGAACCCTATGTGGGATGTCAGTAGTCAAGTACTTAGCATTTGTTTTACTTGTATTGGGGCATTCAGTAAGCCAGGGGGTTTGTATTTTGTGCTTATTTTTCGAATGAAGGTACTTTTCTTTGAAATAGTGTTGCATCACTTCGGAAATTCAAAAGTAGGAGGTTTTTTTTTTGTCTTTTGTTAGATTTACAGGACTATACTCTTCAGTTTACTTCTGCTGCTCTTTTCCCTTGTCAATTTACATGCTGATTTAGATCAAACTAATATGTCGAATTACATTTGGAAAAAATTGAAGTCTCAAAATAAGTCCTTATGTGCTTTATGAAAATTTGTCATTGGACAGATTTAAAAGGACCTAGAGTGCTTTTATAGAGGGTAAGGCAAGCAGAGCTTACTTCCTAATGCCCATCAGCATTTGTGTTCTAGCTGACCAATACAACTCTAGACTAACCCGAAACATGCTGATTTTTTTGTTTCGTGGGCCCTGAGAAATTCCAGTTACTTTGGTGGCAGGACTTAATGGGATAAAAACCCATAGAAAACCTTTTTTTTTAAACTTCTGCTTGCAGAACATGGTTTCTTGAGAGTCAGAATGATGTTCTAATACTAATTTCCTGCTCTGTGAAAGTACTGATGGAAGGGTGCTCTGTTGGGGTCATTGTCATTGCTCTGAGTTAGAAATCTTTGACTTCCCTGATTATCTCAGCAGAAAATACTTTGTACTTCTTATCTGCTTCCCACTGCCATTCTCCTACAGAGGCAGTAACAGGAAAATAGCTAGTATGTTTTTCTTTAAATGAGACATCAAGGAATGCAAGGATGTGAATTTCTAAACTTACGTACTAACAAAGCATTTTGTCAAGCCTGTTCTAACAGCTGCTCCTATCAGATAGTCTGATTCCCAGTTGGAAGTGACCAGTCATGTTTGACTTGAATGTAATTTATCTTTGGTTAGTGGGAAGGATGTAACTGCACTTGCCTCTGGTGTACATGTGATATTAGAAATTTCTTTTGATTTATTTAAATGTCATTGTTTTCAACAATTTGAGTTGTGTGTGTTGTACGTTTAGTCCCTGACAGTTGCCATGAACTCACAATATAATGTACAATGGAGAAGATGAAAAAGATTATAATCATATTCTTAAACTCCTGTTTAGAAGTGAATTCAATCTTTAATTTTTAAATTTAATGGAGAAAATTTTGATTTCAGTTACTGTACTTTACCTGAGGATGCTTCTGTTAAGATATTGCAAATGTATGCATCTATCTTAAATATATTTTTCTGCATGGAACTATATAGATATGGAGCTGTTATGGCTGACTATTATGACCTGACTATTATGACTAAGAAATAAACAAAGTACACAAATTATAAAGATGTGATACCCTAATTTCTCCGTAAGCATTTTTAGACTCTTATGCTTGTGAAATTGTTTGATTTACTAATTACTGCTCATTCTAATTAGGTCAAAGTAGTCTTACACTATTGTCCAGCAGAGCATAACAGCAGACAGTCAGTTTTTTAAATTATATCAAATTTTCTGAGGGAAAGTTATTGATTTGTTTAAGATTAGAATTCTTCAGTAATATAAGTCTTTCAGTCTCAAGAAGATTGATGAAGATCTTATACTCATTAAAATTTGTTTTATGGCTTTTTCATCCTCTGAAGATGAAACTGTTAGCCAATTATTTTCATTATATGAGCCAATTAAGATATTTGACAATCAATAAGTAACGCTTTTCTAAATGTAGAGATATTATTAGAAAATAAGAGATATCAATACCTTTGCAGACGAGCCTGTATTGCCATGTCAATGGAGTTCAAATGCTGAAATAGTGCTATGGATAGAAACTTTATCAAAGTGAATAGCATCTGTACATTTTAAATCTATCTAAAATCATGTATCAACCTGGGGAAAACAAAAAAGGTGTTTTAGCTGTATCTTATCTTTACATAAACCATTACCTGTTAGAACAATAGCAGTTCAAGCTTTGGAAAAATATGGAGAAGGCATGACTTTAAGAAACTGATTTTGTGCAATATACCTTTTACTAAATACACTTCTTGACTGATGGAATGTATGCATCTTCAGTTATTCAATTCACAGAATTTATGCTTGTATGAAAAAACTAAACCTTCTGGATTAGTGGCTCTTGATGGTTAGATACAACATGATAGGCAAGAGATGCAGATCAGATTGTGATGAATAAATTAATATTTGAGGTCTGCATTTAAGAAAAATTAGTAAGAGAAATAATTAGGTGCATGGTTTGGATAGCATTGTTGAAAACAGCATCAATGACAAACTGTGATTACATAGCATTAGAATCTGGTGACTGCACTGCTGAGATACAGTGCAAAAAAAAAGTGAGGAGGGAGAAAAACATATATAGATCCACTTTAGGTGCCTAATGTAATTCGTGTGGTGGGGTGAAATGTGACTTTCTGTATTCTTATCAGTATAGAATGTTTGCACAAAACTGATATAAAGCATTAGTTCTGTAAAGTGTAGCAAATAAGTGATCTTCACTTGCATTTTAAGTGTTCATAAAAGTTTTAAGGAATGTTGTGCTGAATACAGTGTATGTTGTGCTCTCTATACCTAGAATGAATCTTGTTTGGCACTTTCTGGTGATTTTGTCTTTATATTAGGCGTTGAAAATGCAGGTCAAAAGTAGGATATGTGTAGTCAAGCTGGGGACTGGAAGTCCAAACTATGCGAGTTGTAAGAACTGTGGCAGAGTTGCATGTTTAGTCCCTGTGGTGTTTAGTTCACACTTCAGATAAATAACTAGTCTCTAACTAGAAAATGTTGGCCTCTTTCTCTGCCTCCAGTTTCTTATGAAAGTTGAAAGCTAGATTACATATTGGGAAGTTGGATATGTAGAAAACTAGATGCACAACTGTTTTACTAGAGGCAAATTTTGCATCTGTTTTTGAGTCTGTTAATCACTTCTGTTCTGTGTCATCCGTAGGCAGAGCCTGTCAACTGAAATGTCTGTGGTGGTGTTGCAATCTGAGGGCTGATAAAACTTTAATCAGTTTTGAAAATAATACTTGCATTCAGATCTCTAGAGTATTAATATGCTGTACCCCACGATTTAGTAACTAATCTTAATTACACTTTTTAAGTGTTCCACGTTGGTGGCGAATGAGTTGACATGAGAATTCTAATGCCTTCGCAGTGGAACCATGAAAATGCAGCAATAAAATTAATCAGGTTAGAAAAATGGAGAGACAGAATTGTCTTGTGTAAAGACTGAGACAACATCCCACAATCAGGATTTTCTGTAGTAACCGCAATGCAAAACATGCTAACAATTGCTGTACACATATATACAATACATTTTAATAACGAACTGTTCTGAATATCCTGGATTGCTTCTGTCAGGGGAACCTCCATACTGTTGTAACATATGTCACAGAATATTGTCATGCTTCTGTTGCATCCAGAGCAGCTCACTGAGTTCTCTGAGTGACTGACCTTCAGCCACCAAAGACACTAGATGCTTCTTGTGGGTGACTTCAACTTGCCAGATGTCTGCTGGAAATACAATGCAGCAGAGAGGAAGCAGTCTAAGAAGTTGCTAGAGTGTGTGGAAGACAACTTCCTAGCGCAACTGATGAATGTGCCTACTAGAGGAGGTGCCCTGCTAGACCTGTTGTTTGTGAACAGAAAAGGACTAGTGGGGGATGTGATGGTTGGTGGCCATCTTGGGCATAGTGACCACGAAACGTTAAGAGTTTTCGATACTGGATGAAGTAAGGAGGGCCACCAGCAGAACTTCCACCTTGGACTTCCAGCAGGCAGACTTCAGCCTATTTAGGAAATTGATGCATGGAGTCCCTTGGGAGACAGTCCTGAAGGACAAAGGAGTCCAGGAAGCCCCCATAATCCAGGAGGAGACGGTTAGTGACTTGCTGTGCCAATCAGACACTCATAAGTCCATGGGCCCTGATGGGATCCACCCCAGAGTAATGAGGGAACTGGCAAAAGAACTTCCCAAACCACTCTCATTCATCTCCCAGCAGTCGTGGTTAACGGGAGAAGTTCCACCAGACTGGAAGTTAGCAAATGTAACACTCATTACAAGAAGGGTCAGAAGGATGATCCAGGGAACTACAGGCCTGTCAACCTGACCTTGGTTCCCGGCAAGGTTATGGAAGAGATCATCCTGAGTGCCATTCCACAGCACATGCAGGACAATGAGGGGATCAGGGCCAGCCAACATGGATTTATGAAAAGAAGATCATGCTTGACCAATCTGATCTCCTTCTGCAACAAAGTGACCCACTTAGTAGATGAGGGAAAGGCTGTGGATGTAGTCTACCTAGACTTGAGTAAGGCATTTGACAGAGTCTCCCACAGCATCCTCCTGGATAAGCTGGCTGCTTGTGGATTCGATGGGTGGACTCTGTGATGGGAAGCTGTCGGTATGGCTTGGCCCTGATAGTTGTGGTGAATGGAGGTAAATCCAGTTGGTGGCTGGTTACTAGCAGTGTTCACCAGGTCTCAGTTTTGGAGCTGGGGCTGTTTAACATCTTTGTAGATGA